GCACACAGGTGCGCAGCCGGCGGCTCATGAAGGAGCTGCAGGACATCGCGCGTCTCAGCGACCGCTTCATCTCCGTGGAGCTGGTGGACGAGAGCCTCTTCGACTGGAACGTGAAGCTGCACCAGGTGGACAAGGACTCGGTGCTGTGGCAGGACATGAAGGAGACCAACACCGAGTTCATCCTGCTCAACCTCACTTTCCCCGACAACTTCCCCTTCTCGCCGCCCTTCATGCGGGTGCTCAGCCCGCGCCTGGAGAACGGCTACGTGCTGGACGGCGGCGCCATCTGCATGGAGCTGCTCACGCCGCGCGGCTGGTCCAGCGCCTACACGGTGGAGGCCGTCATGCGCCAGTTCGCCGCCAGCCTGGTCAAGGGCCAGGTAAGGCGGGCGGGCCCGCGGGGAGGGCGGGGGCGCGGGGCGCCGGGCTGCCCCCTCCAGACCCGCCTGCGACGAGGCGACGCGCCCGGCGCCTCGGGCCCGCGTCCCGGAGCGCGGTCCTCCAACCCCTTCTCTCCCACCGGGTCTCGGGGCTCCGCGGGGTGTCGCCCGCGCTCGCGCTCCCTGTCTCGGCGCGGCGACCGTCCGCTTACTGCCCGGCTTTCCCCCAGGCCCTCCGCTGCCTTTCTCCCCCGTTTCGTGGGCGCCTGACCCCTCCCGTCCTCCTTCGCTCCCCATCCCTGCAACCTCTGCCCTTTATGGCTTTTCTCCACTCCCCATCCACCTCTCTCTCCTCAACCTGTGCCCTCCACCATCTCTCCCCATCTCCTGCTCCCTCTCTCCCTTTCCGCCTTCCCAGCCCCCCTTAACTTCCCCTTCTGCTCGCCACTCCCACCCACGCTTGCCCCTCATCTGCTTCTCCCCATTTTGGACCCCCATAATCTCCTGAGGGTGCAACTTTACATGTTCCTCAGGATCTGAATGCCCAAGCGAGTTTATCACTCCCCTCCCCGCGCCTGTGCGCGCGGGAGCGCGCGCGCGCGCACACACACACACACACACACACACACACACACACACACACACACACAGGAAGGCCTCCTCCCCAACATCTCAGGTGGGTGCTGTGCAGGCGGGGTGCTCTGCGGAGACCCGGCCTGCTGGTGAATCTGCTCCCCTGCTCTGCTGGCTCCTTCTGAGCAGCATCTAGGGCAAAGGTGAAAATTGTGCTCTTCAGAAATTTCCCTGGAAAAGCAGAGGTGTGGTTTGAGTGGTTCCTTAAGTGACAAGGCCAGACTCTGTCAAGGAAATGCCTGGCACGTGCCCCCTTCCAGAACCATCACCTCTGCTCCTGGTCTCTCTCAGATGTTTCTTCCCTGGGTTTCCTCATGCCTCCTGGAGTTGAATCCTTTATCAGGGCTAAAGATTTTTAACTAAGTGGTGAAATGTGGGCGAGGGGAGGGGGGCGGGAGCTGGACGCCTGAGTCTTCTTGCCTGTTGCACCAGATGGCAGCTTTACCAAAAGAAATCCAGGGAACCTGAGAGCAAAGAATGAATGGATCTGCTGAGGTGTGTTCCCACCTGGCTGATGGTTTTGTCTTTCCATCCTGTGTGCTCTTGATCGTGCTTGAGTTGGTTGATATTTTCTCCGAATCAATAGTAAACAGCTAATAAAATCATATTTTTATAGGGGCAATTGTAGATTTATGGAGAATCATTGTTTTATGTAGAAGACCCTGAATGACCTCTCGATTTGATCATTCTGCAGCCCTCATATCAGAAGCCATCAGCCCCCTGTCACCTGCCTCTGTCCTTTTTACCGCAGGGTCTTTCACAATGATCAAATCATGCTTGTTCTGCCAAGTTCACTGAAGGTGGAGCCCCTGGGATTCCACTCAAATAGCATCCTAACTCCAGTGGAGGAGTTAGGTCAAGAATGAAGTCTGTTGTTACCAAGTAACTATCTTTTCTGGGATTTAGGTTCCACTTATCTCTTGAGTTAGGAAAAGGATGGAGGTGACAGCTCTGGAAAGACATCTTTAACCGAGAGAGCTTTAACGCTTTAACGTGAGAGGTTCATTCTGATTTCTTTCCGTTCAATGCTGGCTCTGATGTAAGATACCGAAATTTAATACGAGCCACAGGAATGGGGGGACACTTTATTTTCTGAACAGGATTTATACAAATGATGTGGAAGAATATTCTGCAAAATGCCTTTGTTATCTGTTTCTTAAATCGTTGCTAATCAGAACTCTCTGGAATAGTCTCTTACCTTCTTTCATTCTCCACAGTGAGATGAGTTTAGGGACCAGGGGAAGAGGAATATCGTTTTGCCTTATAGAGCCACAGAATCATGACATTTTAGGTTTGGAAGAAATCCTAGACATCCCTTGGATCACAGCCTACATTTTGAAAGATGTAGGAAAATAAAGATTTCAAATGGGAAATGAGGAAGTTTCTTAAAAAGAGATACATCTTTGTAAATTACATGGTTTCCATGTTTAAATTAAAGTTATGCATAATAGTTGCATGCATGCCTGTGCACTTCTCTTAAAAGAAGCAGGTCCTTGGGTCTATATTCCTTTCCTACATAATTCAAATTAAGAGTCTTGCACACAGTTTGCGAGCTAGAGACTTCAGTGTTGAAAGTAATTATCAACATTTTTATTTAGTATTTTCAAAATCTCACTTAATCGAACTCAGGGCCCTCCAGCAAGCATATGGTATTATCAACTGTTCTAAATTCTAGTGTATGAAAGATATCAACTGAAGGGAAGAATGCAGCAACTTATGAAAACACCAGTTCAATTTCTTTGCATTTTCTGTGCTGACTTCAACACCCAAAAGGCCCTGGCATGGGATACACATAACCTCTCCAGAATGCAATGTGAGAATAAGAGAAATGAAGTCATAACGCTTCAAGATTCTGTGTGCAAAGGGATTCTAATAGTGTCTCAGGGACCTGAGCATTTCCTTTTATGAAGTCCCTGCCTACAGATTGTTCAGTGCACATACTGTAGTTACCAAATTATTTCCATAGTTAAAGGTAATAGAATTTGGGAAAGGAATCAAAGTACCTGATGAGGTATTCAAAGAGAACCGGGACTGCCACCAAACCAATAATTAGTTTAAAAGAAAGAATCATTCTCTTCTAGTTCAGTTCCTCCATCTGTTGGTATTTCTTTTTTAGGATTCGTTTTTCTTAAGCGACAAAGTTAAGAAAGGCTTGTTTTCCTCTTGCATAACTGCTCAGCTTAACTTTCTGAATTGAGGATACACTAAGTTGATTTTGTTTCTATGCCTTCAGAGAAATCGTAAAATCTTTTAAAGGTTTCATTGGTAATAGTAACAAAAGATTTGCTTAACAGTTTTGTGCACAAAATAAAAAGTTTGGGGTTATCACATGATACGATAAATGCAGTCATTTCACGAGACCTTTGCCTGACTGGCCCACCTTATCAGTCTCTTCAGTGCTGCTTTGTGGTTGTTTTAAATGAAATTCCTATATGTTGCTTGTATGATGTATTCTATACAGAGATAGTGACACACTTGTCTTGCCTGTTTATTGTCTATTACTAATCCTTCTTTTGACTAAATGGAGACATTTTTGGTAATTCTTTTGATTTTCTGCAATTGAATGAAAAATTCCCATACTTTTAAAGTGAACTGGTGAAAATGTTAAAACTTTGGGCCATTATATATATCCTTTATCATTTACTAAACCAAAAGAAGAAGATCCCTAGCTCTAGGGTAGGATTTTCCACATTCAGAAGCAGTAAGATGTTGGTCTGGAAAGTTAGGTCAGTTGCAGTGTGAGCTCTGTGTTTGCACCTCGTAGGTAGCCCCACGTGTGGACTCATTTGCGGAGATTTCCGAGAACAGGCTCTGGAAGCCTAGGCTCACTAGCACTGAGGTTGGAGGGGCCTAGCCCGGGAAGTGCGACAGAGTTCCCGGGCTTATGCACCCGGTTTGGAGCCTGGGATCATTGAATGACTGCACAGAGACCTTCCATTTGCAGTTGTTCGAGCAGAAGGGTCCCCAAAAAGCCGTTCGAGGGGGCTCTTACTCCGAGTTCTGTTTTCTCATCACCGTACCTCCTGAGTGTCTCCTTAGTTAGACATCGCCAGGGGCAGGGAACCAGATGGCTCTTGGAAAGCTGTTCCTCACTCCTCCTCTGCTTTCTCAGAGCCAGCCGCACGACGCAAGCCAGCAGGCAGCCACCGTGGCTAACTGCCATGCACCCCGCGCCGGGCCCCCGCCGGCTAAGCGAGCGCTGAGGCTGCTTCACCCGACTCGGTGCCCCTCTTCCGACGGTCTCTGTACGGGGGGGCGGGGAACTGTAGCTCCACACAGCCAGGCGAAATCAATACGTCTTGTTCTAATTCTAGCAATGAGTGCCAAGGCGCTGGAAAGCGAGACCCGGTCGTGACCGGCTGGTCAGGAACGGCAGAGTCAAGCTGGGGGCCGCCTAAGCCGCTGGCTGTCCCCAGGCAGTGGTCCACTCCCTGTGACCGGCACGATAACCGTGTGTGTCTGCTGAGAACAGACACCCGGTCAGGCATCAGCAGAACGGCGAGAACAGCGGGACTAAAACATCCTCAGATCGTAGTGTTTGAACTCCCGAGTAGTAAGCGATTCCAGGACAGTTCTGTTTGCCTCGGAGTTAGCCTCTGGAATCTTTGAGTAATGGAAGCTGGCAGGTGTCAGAATGTGGTAGAAAAGGAACGGGCTCTGCACATCGGCCCTTTGATGAGACGGTGCATCTCTTGAGCAGATCTTAGGACTTAAGGCGCTGTGCATCATGAGTGTCGCTGAGAATTGTGCGCACGCACACGTGCACACACACAAATACCACCTTCTTCAGAACATCTTCCAAAGTACGAGGCCTAGGAGCAGCATTTTACTTAGGACTGTGACGTCTCCAGTTCTGGTCAGAAAAGGCGATATAGGTGGCCAGCCCTTTGGGTCCCAAAGTGTATTTGCTTCCAACCTGTTCTCATTGACACATGGTTTGAAGGCCTGCATTAGTCTGTTAGGGCTGCTGGGTGGCTTAACCAACAGAAATTCACCATCTCACAGTTCTGGAAGGCAGCCTTTGGAAATCAGGTGTCAGCAGGGCGGGGCTCTTGTGAGGCTGTGAGGGAGAATCTGTCCCCAGGCTGCACTCCATGGCTGAGAGATGGCTGTCTCCTTCCTATGTATTCACAGGCTTGTCCCTTTGTGCGTGTCTGTGTCCCAATTTCATAAGGACACCAGTCACACTGGATTAGGGCCCACCCTAACGACAGCAGCTTAACTTGATCACCTCTGTAAAGACCCTGTCTCCAAATACAGTCACATTCCGAGGTGCGGGAGATGAGGACTCCAGCACAGGAATTGTGTGGGGCCACAGTGCAGCCCAGAACAAGCCCAAACGGGAATTTTGTAACTAATTCAGCCTC